CCCAGAGAGGTGGGGGAGTCTCCCCCTCTGGAGCCATCCCAAACCCGCCTGGACGCCGTCCTGTGCCACTGCTGGAGGTGCCCCTGCTCTGGCGGGGGGTGGGATGGGGGAGCTCCAGAGGGCCCTGCCAACCCCACCAGTCTGGGAGTCGGTGGACCTTATAACTCATCTCGTTCCACCCCCTGCCCTGGGCAGGGACACCTTCCACCAGAGCAGGTTGCTCCAAGCCCCGTCCAACCAGCAGCCTTTGGGTCACTGGGTGCAGAGCGTGTGTCCCCGCTCCCTCGAGGGCACGCGAGCTAGGGAAGCTTTTAGTGCATTTTTTTGCGAAAAGCCTGGTTGGACAGGACAGCGGTACTGCGCTTGCTGACTGAAATGAGTCCGCAGTGTTCGAGGTTGTCAGAAAAACAGTAAAAGAAAATGGAAAGCTCTCGAGGGCGGTGCTGAAACACGTATTGCCCGGGACGGGTTTAAGAGATGCGGAGTTCTGGGAGGTGTGAGGAGGAGCTGTCGGTAGTTGACACCTCTGAATTCTCAGCTCTTGCTGTCACTGCTCCAAAGGGCTACTTTTGGTGTACCCTCTCGCTTTCATCTAAGGTTTTTTGCAGTGTGCTGTGATTAGAAGTGTGTAAGACTCTTATGTGGTTTGTATTTGTGAAGTTGACAGCCTGTGTGAAAACTTCCCGTGCTTGAATAAGCTTCTTGCAGCACAAGGTAGTATATAGTCTATGGCTTATGTATAGCATAGTGTTTCCTTAAGAAACGTAGCGTTCGGCACAGGGAATCGTCCCCTCCGTGCGCTATGACTTCGTGGCTCTGTGGCAAACTGCTGTTCAGCGCAAGTGAGTAAATGTTGAGCAACCTTGGCAAAAAGACCTAATGAATTAATTTTTAATCCAGGCAGTGTTGCCAAGTAGTCAGTGTGTTGCACATCTGGTCATCAACTGGTTGCTTCTCGTTTCTTCTTTTAATCTTTCCAGTGAGAGGCTTCAAAGACAGAAAGGGAGGAAATAATCGCTTCTTTATGTTCCTCACTACGTGTTTATTTAATGGGCTGATAAGAAACGCAGTAGCTGGAGCCTTCCCCTTGATTCTTCTTCTCCCAGATTCTCAATTAAGCTTATTAAAGAGGAAAAAGCGTTTGAAAATATGTGGTGGAAAAAAGTTATTAAAAGTGGGGTGGGGGAAAGAGGATATCAAAACTGGAACCACGAGCTTGTGTGTGGCAAAGGGCTGGAGGAAGAGTTAGGAGGAGGCAAACTAAAAGGGGTCTATTTCATTTTCTGATTAAAATACCCCCGAACAGCTATTAGTTGAAAGTACTTCATAAATCACTCTGATTCTGTTTTCCCAGTATTACTTTTCCACGATGTTTAAAACCACAGCAATCTTTAAACCTTTTAGAAATCAAAAAACACTCATGTGCCATTTCTGGTGCAGAGGATGAAGCTGTACCCTCCTGACTTCCCCTGGGGGCGTACCAGAGACTGGAGAGCCGCGAAGGAAAGTTAAAGTAGTCGTTTCATTTGGTGTCCCTGAATTTTTTTTGTTTGGTTTGCTTTTGTTTGGGGTTTGTTTTGTTTTTTTTTTTTTAGGCACAAACAGATACTTCAGGAAAGTAGCCATGAAAATGGGTTTGAACGTAGTTTTTGTTGACTGCACAAAACCAGAGTGCCTGGAAGCCGCAATTACACCAGCCACCAAGGTAGGGGACCTTACTTGTGCTGAACTTAATTGCTTAATGTCCTTAAATGGTTTATGTTCTTGCTCTCGCTGTACTGGGGGGGTGCGTTGAACAGAGGGGGCTGCAGGGGTGGCCTCTGTGGGGACAGGTCAGGGCACAGCTGGCTCCAGCGTGTCCCCACTGCAGGCCACTGGGTGACGTTCATGGTGCCTCACCAAAAGATTTTAAGGGCAAAAAAACACCAGAGAAAGAGAGAGGAGGAGGGAAAAGGTAAGAAACAGCAGAGGGAACACCAAGGTCGGCGGAGGAGGAGGAGCTCCATGGTGCTGGAGCAGCTATTCCCCGGCTCTAGTGGAAGAGAATTCAGCTGGAAAAGACTTACAGACTTTTGGGTGTAAAGACTTTCTTCTGGCTATGTCAGGCCTTCTTCGGATGCGGTGCACTTAGGTTTTCAAAAGTGCATGATGCTCTTCCCGTGCATCGGTTGTTTCTGTGGAGGATGTTAACCTCTCCCGGGACACCCTGCCGTTCTTCAGCGGGGACGCTTTCCCGTTTCCACCCTGCACACCTGCGTGGGAAGCTGATGCTCGCCAAGTTAACGTTTAAAAGCACTTACACCTTCCACGTGTGTGTCGTCACCAGCATGGTAAACTCTCTAAAGGGCTGTTTTCTGTTGTTGAATTACTGCAGCTGGTTTGGATTGAAACGCCCACAAACCCCACGCTGAAGGTCATTGACATCCAGGCCTGCGCAGCTGTGGTCCATAAGCATAAAGATGTTCTTCTCGTGGTGGACAACACTTTCATGTCTGCCTATTTCCAGGTGAGCACTTCGGCTCCAGTGACCCCTTTATTTCCCTGTACTCAGAGATACATTTTTAAAATGGAAGTACCACCAAGGGACTGTAGTTTTGATCTATGTTCTGTTTCGCACTGCAACCCATGTACTGCTGCTGTTTGCATCGGTAAAGATGGAATACAGAGTGTTTCATATACCAGTATGAGACCAGCAAAGCCAGTATAGCTCAGTGGTCCAGTAAATGCACTGGTGATCAAGACAGTCAGGTACGCCGGTGGGTGAATGGCTTCTCTGGCATTCACAAATCACGTATTTTTAGTTCTCACTGGTGGAAATCATAACAGACCTGTTTAAAAGTGTCCTGTTTCCTAATTTTGGCCTTTTTGTACTAATTCTTTTGTATATGCTGGTTATGATCTGTTCACTTGATATTCTAAAAAAGGTAGTGGAAGAAAAAGGCAAACATCGTTAAATCTTTCTTTGAGGCATCCAAATTACCTTTTTCTTCAATATGTTGGTGACTGTGTGGCTTAGAAGTTTATAATTTTGATCTCGGAACAACTGGCCTAACTTTTCTGCTTTTATAACTGGAATGCATGAAGTGAAGGCAATTTAAGTTCTAAAAATGCTTTGGAATAATAAACTTTGAAGCCTTGTTCGTCTTCACATGGGCTAGAAATATCCATGTGTATTTGCCAGGAGGCCAAGCTAATCCCTTGCATCTTAGATCTAAAGTAAAACTTTTTCTGAGTGCAAAAGGCAAGGTGGCCTTTGCTTTTGTTAAGGGTACTGAGGTCTTGATGATAAATTCAGAGCGCGTTACAGAAAGTGTTAATGCTTAGCTAAAGCAGCACTTGAGTTCATCTCGTACGTAGCAAAGGCTCGGTGATTTCCCCCTCCGCAGCGTATATTACTTCAGAAGGACGTGTGAAAGAGGAAAAGCGAGCATCTGGATATATGAGGTAGTTAATGTATCTTTTATTGGCCTGGTGCTAAGAGGAAGTCAGTTGTAATGATTAATTCCAAGTAAGCATAATAGGTGATGTCTTTAAACCCCTCGGGAGTGCTGCTGATGCACTGTACGAAGAGGATCATATCTTTGGAGTGATTTGTATAGCAATAGCGAACGTAAAAGGCGGTGGTGTTTATGCCACCGCTCTCCTGGCTGCGCCTGGGGGGCGCACATCATCCCCGTTCCTTGAACAGACCTCCGTGTTTAATCTGGCAGCAGCAGTCTTTTCTTCTAAATCTGCTTGCTTTGTTACCTTTGACGTATTGGTGCTCTTCAGTCTTCATGTTTGTTATGGGCAAGGGCCTTTACTTAGTGACTGAGTAAAAGAAACCACAACATTGCTCATTACTTCTTGCCCATCAACATCTCCGTTTGCCTCGCCTCACAGAGCCTCCTGGGGAGAAGCTGGGAGGTTAGGGAAGAGGCACCTGGCAAACTTTCTGCGCTTTCTTGCACTTCCTTCAGGTTTGCAGTTCTTCTTTCGGTGCAGTATCACCAATAATGATATCTAGAAAACAATGCCATTTTTGTGCTTTGCAGACTGTGTTGAGGTCTTCATTTTTCTAAGGAAAATAGTGTAGAGTAAATGCCATTACTTATCCCTGCCTCAGCTAAGCGATGTAACCTTTTTTTTCCCCGCAAATACAAATGGGCTGTATGGTGGATGTAGTCAATCTCGCTCCTCTCCCTGAAGCTGGTGGGAATTAGACCGGTGCTTTTAAATCCCATTTTACTGTGGGTTCTTTTTATTGTGCTTGTGTTGAATTCAGAGTGCTTTCCTGTACTATTGTTTTTGTCACATATTCTACCTATTTTCATTCTCAGGTTTTTGTGTTTAAAGTGTTTTGTGTTAAGTTTTGGTGGGTTTTTTAGTTTCTCCACCTGGTGTTATTTTCTGTGTTGGATCAGAGCCTTTCTGGGTAGTCCCCACTGGACCAGAGTGCACACAAGCTTTAACCGCACCTCTCCTTTTTGTTTCGTTCCAGCGTCCTTTAGCTCTGGGGGCTGATATTTGTATGTATTCTGCAACCAAGTACATGAACGGTAAGCACGCGAGTTCGACACCACTCAGGCTGGCTATTTAAAGGCCGTTCTGGCTGCGGGCAGTTCGCAAAACCCCATGTGTCTGCCAGGAATTCTTAGATGGACCCTTAGAGGAGATGGACCGTTGAATCGACCATTAGTCTTTGTAGCTCCTAAACAAGCCCCGGGAGAAGGATTATTGACCTGGCTTCGGGTAACAGACCTGGAGGTGTTTATAGCCATGTTGGCTTTAATTTGACTGCGGCAAAGCAGGTGGCTTTAGTAGGAGATAGCTGCCAGAAACTCTCTTCAGGTCCAGAGGAGGTTCCCTGCGGCTGTGTTGGAGCCTGTCCAGAGGCACCATCGCTGTGCTGTTTCCCAAAGAGCCCAGACTCGGAGCTAACGAGGCCGTAGCTGTGCTGTGCCCACACCTCCCCGGTGCTACGGGTAGAAGTGGAAGTTTTCTGGCCCGTGTTTGCTCTCGCTGGGACGGCAGCCCGGTGCTGCTCCGCAGGACACACCTGATGGCTGTACCCGTGTCCTGTGGCAGCGCGCTGGGGAAGCGTCTGCAGGCACACGGCGGAGCGTGCCGCTCACCAGAGCTTCAGGAAAAGCTGAAATCCGCCTTATGATCCTCCTGCTGCAGAGGGAGGAGAGCTGTAGCAATGAGAAGGAAGCCAGTGTCTCGCAAAAACGGGACTGTATTGGCAGCAGGGCTGTGAAAACGGGGGTCTGTGGCAGGACAAACCGAGCAGATGGGGTGGCTGATCGTGTTCTTGTCTTCTTGAATTTTTAGGGCATAGTGATGTTGTAATGGGACTTGTTTCAGTAAACTGTGATGACCTCTACGAAAGGCTCAAATTCTTACAGAACTGTAAGTAGTCCATGAAGGAAATACCTTAAAATGAATCATGTTCCCATTACGAGCTGGTGTATTTGAAACGTGTTGCATGCACACAAGTATGGAATCTCTCTAGAGATGTAGCTCGGGCACTTAAATGCGCAGAAGTGTAGATGAGTGGAGAGGAAGCAGTAACACCGATGTGAGAAACCTGAATTCTTCTCCCTGCCTGTCAGCAGTGCGTAGGCTGCCCTTACCCAGACATGATAGCTTTTGGGAGGCCTCTGAGGCTTCTCTCCCAAATCAAGTTAATGGCACTGGTTTCCACTTCCTAACTCTTTCCAGAAAAGCCATAGGATAGAATCATGGAATTGTCTAGGTTGGAAGGGACCTTTAAGAACATTGAGTCCAACTGTTAACCCAACACTACCAAACCCACCACTAACCCACGTCCCTCAGCACCACATCTGCCCGGCTTTTAAATCCCTCCAGGGATGGGGCCTCCACCACTGCCCTGGGCAGCCTGTGCCAGTGCTTCACAACCCTTTCCATGAAGAAATTTCTCCTAATATCCATCCTAAACCTCCCCTGGCACAACTTGAGGCCGTTCCCTCTTGTCCCATCGCC